TCCGGTGGTTGGAGTTATACCTGACACGTAGGAAGGTGGTTGTGATTGTTGGAGGTCAGTCATCTCAGCTCCAGGACATCTCTGCCGGAATTCCTCAGGGTAGTGTCCTCAGCCCAAACATCTTCAGCTGCTTCATCAATGACCTTCCCTCCATCATAAGGTCAGAAGTGGGGATGTTTGCCGATGATTGTGCAATGTTCAGCACCATTCGTGACTCCTCAGATACTGAAGCAGTCCATGTTCACATGCAACAAGATCTGGACAATATCCAGGTTTGGGCTGACAAGTGGCAAGTAACATTTGCGCCACACAAATGCCAGGCTATGACCATCACCAATAAAAGACAATCTAACCACCATCCCTTGACATTCAATGGTGTTACCATCACTGAATCCCCCCGCTATCAACATCCTGGGGGTTTCCATTGACCAGACTGAACTTGCCACATTAACACAGTGGCTACGGGAGCAGGTCAGAAGCTAGGAATACTCCAATGAGTAATTCACCTCCTGACTCCCCAAAGCCTGCCCACCATCTACAAGGCCCAAGTCAGGAGTGTGATGGAATACTCCCCACTTGCCTGGATGGGTGCAGCCCCAACAACACTCAAGAAGCTTGACACCATCCAGGACAAAGCAGCCCACTTGATTGGCACCATATCCACAAACATCCCACTCCCTCCACCACCGATGCTCAGTAGCAGCAGTGTGTACTATCTACAAGATGCTCTGCAGAAATTCACCAAAGGTCCTCAGGCAGCACCTTCCAAACCCATGACCACTTCCATCCAGAAGGACAAGGGCAGCAGATACATGGGAACACCACCCCCTGCAAGTTTCCATCCAAGCCACTTGCCATCCTGACTTGGAAGTATATCGCCGTTCCTTCAGTGTCGTTGGGTCAAAATCCAGGAATTCCCTCCCTAAGGGACATTATGGGTCAACCTGCAGCACATGTTTGCAGTGGTTCAAGAATGCAGCTCACTACCACCCTCTCAAGGGGTAACTAGGGATAAGCAATAAATGCAGGCCCAGCCAGCGATGCCCTCAGTCAATGAACAATTAAAATGCCTGGGATTGAGGTATGAATGGGAACCTGTATGCATTAGCACACAGGAAGTTGATCAGGGTTGGTACACCGGGAGGTACCTGACTGGGAATGATGGGAGTTCTGGTACTTGCCAACTGAACAGCTTGACATTAGCTGATGCTCATTTTACTCTATAGTCATACTTACCTCCCAGTGTCCCTGGGAGTTGATGGGGGTTCTGCTCCTGATCCTAATCCAAGGTCTGTCTTTTTGTGTTCATCAACCTAACAGTCAAATCCCAATTTCTCCTCTTCCCAAAATCCCAGAGATCAAGCCATCAGAGTTAAAACTCTCCAGGAAATTGCCCAGTTATACAGAGCCCACAAATGCGGAGGAAATCCAACCCAGTGGATACAGAGAGAGAGCCTTTGACCCATTGGTGATGATTGGTGATGGGGGTGGGGGTGGAACCTGTTGTGGGGGGGGGATTTGACCCTCTTGAACCTGTGTCCTCTAACCCACTTGTGCCCCATGCTCTGTTTTTAGGAGGACAACTGGAGAGAGATTGCAGGGAAGAAGATGAAATTCCCACCCACTCTGATTGGAGCCATCTACGATGGGAACTTGGCCAAACTTTATAAGTTGCTGCAGACGAGTGACGGTCTCCTGAGGCAGCTCGATGACGCAGAGGACCGATCTTGGAGAGAGGCTCTCAACCTGGCCATCCGCATGGGCAATGAGGAAATTATCGTCAACCTCCTGCGGCTGGTCAAGTTCGACTTCCGGCAGATCCACGAGGCACTGCTGGTGGCTGTGGACATGAACCTCATCAATGTGGTCAAGCTCCTGCTGGAGAGGCTGGACCAGCAGAAAGGAGTCAGTCACAACAAGGTAGACATCATGTCCTTCTCCCTGGCCATGTTCGACCACTCCATTGACAGCTCCCGATTCGCGCCAGGGGTCACCCCGTTGACCCTGGCTTGCCAGAAGAATCTGTTTGATATCGTGGACCTGCTGATGAAGAAGGGCCATGTCATTCCGAACCCCCACAAGATCTCCTGTTCCTGCCCAGAGTGCCTCAACGCCCGGCAGTATGACATGCTCAAGTTCTCGCTGTCTCGCATTAACACCTACAAAGGACTGGCCAGCAGGCCCTACCTCTCCATCGCCAATGACGACGCCATGTTGAGTGCCTTCAAGCTGAGCCGGGAGCTCAAACAGCTGTCCAAGAAAGAGCCCGAGTTTAAGGTTGGTAACTCCACAATGTGGACCAGGCAGCGACACATTTCAGCCTGGCTGGAATTGAGGAGGGGTGGGAGGCATGGTATTGCTGCCTACAGAGATTGTGGGATCTCGGGAGATCAACTATATCTCCTCAGGGCAACTGGTCCCTCAGCACTGACCGTCTGACAGCGTAATGCCTTCACTGTAACAAGACATCCCAAGATCATCTATTCCTAACTAAAATTTGACCAGAAATCACTTCCACAGCAATTGGATCAGGTGAACAAATATTTGGTTAAAGAGGTCAGTTTGAGGAATATCTTAAAAAAAGAGATGATGAGAAGTTTTGAGCATGGGACTGTGGCAGCTGAGGGCACAGATGCTAATGTTGGGACGATAGAAATCGGGACTGGTGCAGAGATCAGGATTTTGGGAAGGCCCTGCCATCTGGGTGATTAGAGAAAGGAAGGAGACGAGACCATCTCGGGATCTCAAAGCAAAGATGAGATTCTCAATTGAAGAGATTGTTTGCCCTGGAAATGGTGGGGTCAGGGGAGCGGGGGTTGTGAGAGAGGAATGGGACTTGCTGCAAGTTAGGGCATAGCTACAGCAAGGTACAGACTCTCTTGGTTGAGATGGAATGTGGGAGCTCCTAATATTTTTCAATCATTGAAATCTCTGAATGTCCACTTTATTATTAACATTGAGTTGTTATCTCCACCTCACAATTGAATCCTTGGTGTCCCAGGAGACAGTGAGGACTGAAAGCCAGAGTCTATAGGTGTGAGGCTGGAAAAACACAGCAGGTCAGACAGCTTCTGAGGAGCAGGAAAAATCAACGTTTTGGGCCAAAACCCTTCGTCAGGACTGGGGAGGGGGAGGGAAGCCCAGAAATAAATAGAGGGAGGAAGGTGGGGTTGGAGAACCTATCACCATCCCACCTACCTTTCCCTAGCCCCACGCCCCTCCCTCTGTTTGTTTCTGGGTTCCCCTCCCCCTCTCCAGTCCTGACGAAGGGTTTTGGCCCAAAATGTTGACTTTTCCTGCTCCTTGGAAGCATTTCCAGCTTTTCCATCTCCACACTGTGTTTATTGACCTTGGTGTTCCAATCCAATGTCACTCAGTGGAGATAATAGTCTGGCCTAGACCAGAGATCCAGGTAATGTTCATGGTAGGTGGTGGAATTTCAAATTCAATAAAAATCTGGAATTAAGATTTTAACAATGACCATAAACCACTACTGATTGTCAGGAAATCCTTATAGGGTTCACTGATGTCCTTTAGGGAAGGAAATCTGCCATCCTTACCTGGTCTGGTCTACATGACTCCAGACCCACAGCAACATGGATTACGTTTAATTACCCTCTGAAATAGAAAGCCCCTCAGCACCAGAGGGAATTAGAGAGGGGAAGCAAATGCTGGGCTCATTAAGAGAGACAGCCACATGCTACGAATAAATGCATTAAAAATAATCTCTCTTTTCCAGCCGGAATATCTAAGCCTGGAGGAAGTCTGTCAGGACATGGCTGTGGAGCTGCTCGGAATGTGCCGGAACCAGAGTGAAGTGAACGCTGTGCTGAATGACTGTGGTGATGAAAGTGCGGAAGATGCAGATAACCAAGCCTTTGAAGAAGGGATTCCCAACCTGGGCAGACTGCGCCTTGCTGTCAACTACAATCAGAAGAGAGTGAGTGTGACTGTGATGCCTACTGGGGTCGCATAGCTGTTGATTCACTTCAGAGGCAGAGGGATCGTCACAATACCATCAGAGACAGGAGCTGGACTGTCATCAGGGGCGGATCTAGCTCCTTTTCCCCTTTTCCCAGCTCCCAGAATTCCATGGGTACTCAAAACCTATCAACTTCAGCTTTGAAGATATTCACCAACTGTAATATGTTGAATTGGTTTAGTAACAGGAAACAAAGCACAATGGCCAATGGCTGCCCTTGTCAATGGAAAGCTGATTCAATTAGTATTCTGCAGGGCTCAGTGTTGGAACACCTGCAGTTAGTTTTATACACTAACTATGTGGATTTGAAAATGGGGGCTACAATTGGGAAATTTGCAGATAACACAATAATTGGCCATGTAGTAGATAGTGTAGAGGATAGCCATATGCTCCAAAATGATATAGATGGGTTGGTGGGGTGGGCAGGAAAATGGCTGGTGGAGTTCACCTCTGATAAGTGTGAGGTGATGCTTTTAGGAAGGTCAAAAAGTAAAAAGGGAATACACTGAGGGGTTAGATAAAGTGAGAGATCTTGGCGTGCAAGTGCACAGGTCACTAAAGGTAGCTGTATTAGTAGATAAGGTTGCAAAGAAGGCATATGGAACACACTCTTTCATTGGCAGAGGTATAGAATACAAAAGAAGGGATATAATGATGAACGTAGACAAACAGGAGGCTGAAAGAACACAGCAGGCCAGGCAGCACCTGAGGAAAGGAGCAGTCAATGTTTCGGGTATTACCCTTCTTCATCCAGACATGATGACACAGACGTGATTGTCCAAATGGCCTCTTTTGTGCCAAAGATCTCTGTGAGTCTTTAAGAAGCAGGTGAAGATGGTTGGGACGAGGACACTACCCTGAGGAACTCCTGCAGAGATGTCCTGGAGCTGAGATGATTGACCTCCAACAATCACAACCATCTTCGTATGTGTCAGGTATGACTCCAACCACCGGAGAGTTTGCCCCTGATACCCATTGATTCCAGTTTTGCTAAGACTCTGTAATGCCACACTCGATTGAATGCAGCCTTGATATCAAGAACTATCACCCTCACCTCACCTCTGGAATTCAGCTCTTTTGTCCATGTTTGAACCAAGGCTGTAATGAGGTCAGGAGCTGAGTGGCCCTGGTGGAACCCAAACTGGGCGTCACTGAGCAGGTTATTGCTGAGCAGGTGCTGCTTGATAGCTCTGTTACTGACACCTTCCATCACTTTACTGATGATCAAGAGGAGACTGATGGGGCGATAATTGGCCGGATTGGATTTGTCCTGCTTTTTGTGTACAGGACATACCTGGGCAATTTTGCACATTGTCGGATAGATACCAGTGTTGTAACTGTAACTGGAACAACTTGGCTAGGGGAGCGGCAGGTTCTGGAGCACAAGTCTTCAGTACTATTGCCGGAATGTTGTCAGGGTCTGTAGCCTTTGCAGCATCCAGTGTCTCCAGTCGTTTCTTGATATCACGTAGAGTGAATCAAATTGGTTGAAGACTGGTATCCATAATGCTGGGGACCACTGGAGGAGGCCGAGATGGATCATCCACTCAGCACTTCTGGCTGAAGATGATTACAAATGTTCCATCATTTGCACTGATGAGTGGGGCTCTCCCATCATTGAACCGATGTTAGTCTCCTGGCTTGATGGTAATGGTTGTAGGGGATATGCCGGGCCATGAGGTTACAGATTGTGCTGGAGTACAATTCTGCTGCAGTTGATGGCCCACAGCGCATCATGGATGCCCAGCCTCGAGTTGCTAGATCTGTGCGAAGTCTGTCCCATTTAACACAGTGATAGTGCCACACAACACGATGGGGGTTATTCTCAATGTGAAGGCGGGACTTTAACTCCACAAGGACTGTGCGATTGAGTTTCGGAGCCATGAGGTCATGTTGCAGCTGTACAAAACTCTGGTGCGGCCACACTTGGAGTATTGCGTACAGTTCTGGTCGCCGCATTATAGGAAGGACGTGGAAGCATTGGAAAGGGTGCAGAGGAGATTTACC